CACACACACACACACGCACACACACGCGCACACACACGCACGCACGCACACACACACAAGCACACTTACACTTAAAAGCAGGAGTGGGGGGCTGCATCTGTTAGCGAGTCCCCTGAGATTGGAGTAGCACATCAACAGAAACATCTAGTACATGTTGCAAGGCCTCATGGGTAAGGAGGGACAAGTACAGGAAGGGAAGCAAACAAAATAAATCTGAAGCTTAAATACTAAATAAAGTCTTGTTATTAAAGGGAATGTTTCCTGTTTCTGCATCTTTTCCTTCAAAGGAACAAATGAAGGCCCTTTTCACAAACACAGCAAGAAGCTAGTCAACTATTTAAGAATAAAGATGAATTCAGCTCCATTAATATTGATCAATCAAACTTTAATGGACAGTCCAGCGTCCAAAGAAGTGAAAAGTGGTTGAGATTCAGAATCAACAAAAAGATGGGGAGTTCCTCTGGGTTCGCTGCAGAGGCCCTGAGGACACAATCAATACTGTACAGGCTCTGTCTGATACTTCAAAGTGAACGTCAGCTGGAATATTAAAGCTACGTTCAAGTGCAGAGCAACGTTGTGCTGAATGGCCAAAATCACCGAACTGTTCTCAGTAACTAGCGCAGGATATCAGACCACATACTTTTTTAGGTACCAATAGAAAGGTTTTCATAACACAGAGCATGAAAAACTAAAGCTGGTCAAATGTAAGATTTTTGACTTATTGTTTTATTTGTTTGTTGAAAAAATTGTAATTTTTCATTGAAGTGAAGTTGTTCTGTGGCTGCTTGGTTTTAGAAATGGAGGAGTCTGACTCCTTTTATTAAATCAGTAAAAATGTTGATGTGTCCCTCACAGCTGTGATATGACCTGAAAACTACTGGTTAGCGTAAGTACCTGCACATATCGTTGAATCACAAAAAGTGAGTATATGTCTGCTTCTAATGTTTCTCACTACTCACTCCACATTTGTTCTAAAACAGTCACATGTGTTGCTACAATGACTCTAATCTATAAAATGTGATATGACAGAACTCTGCCTCACACCGTTCCCTAACAGGATTATTGTGTGAACAGGATTATCAATATCAATGACTTCATCTTTCTTTAATGCTGGATACGAAGGCAAACATGACTAATCTGTGCATAAGTTCTCAGGAAGCTGCATCGTTCTCCTTCTACTTCAGACTCAGCAGCAGAATGCAGCATTTCCTCTCCTTTCCTGTGCAAGCATCATGACTGTGATTTATGGCATCTGGTCGCAGGATCGCTGACGTGGAGCAAGGAGAGGAAAGAGCTCTGTCTCCTCCTCTTTTCTTCTTCTCCTTCTTATTCAGGCACTCACTCCCACCACAACAACGAGCCTAAACCTCGACTTGCCATCCACTTTCTCAGAGTCATTCTAGCTGATCCCGTCCACACCCATCCCTCCCACCAGCATGAACAAGCATTCGAGCCCCCAGGCCGCAAATGAGACACAGTTGGCAGAGCTGTGACTGAAGGAGCTTTGTCTTGAAGGTTCCTGAGTTTTCCTTCAGATGCAACAAAAACAGTGTGAAAACTCTGCAGTGCTGCACTGAAGCTTTAGTTCAAGTCCCTTTGGATAAAAGCGTCTGCCAAATGAAGAAGTGTAATGTAAAACTACATGATATATATGGATACTGGCTTTTTGGATGAAGACTAAAAAGTGTGTTTAGCAAAATTATATCAGATAACAACCCTTTCTCTGAGAAATTATGTTTCAATACAACTTGAAGGAAACAAATCACTGGCTGGATTTTGTTCAGAGCCAGCGTATTCTTCATACAAATGGGTATTGTTCTGCAAGAAAACATTTTACTGATATGTTCACTATCAACATGTATGCAAGTAAAAGAACGACATGTCCTCATTGTTTTTATGGAAAACTGGTTGTGATCACGTGAAGACATATTTGCTGTTGCGGTTTATTTGTTTAGAAACGTCATTTTTAGGAGACAAGGCTATGGATAGCTTAGCCTCGATTTCTGGGGCATAAATGTCAGTAAATTCAATAAAGAACTACTAACATTAGCCTTATTAGCTCTGACACAGTCCCATCCAGCTTCCAGATTAGAGAAATATTGGCCTGTGGATGTGCTAACAGGAAATGATAACCTGTAACCCATAATGTATGAAAAGCTCCTTCACATTGGAAGTAACACTGGATTAAGCTAAACTCTAAGTATGTTAGTAAGCAGGAATAAGGTTTGCAGTTCACATTAGAGCAGACAGTTTTACATTTTTGCTCTTGTAATTTTGGTTTTGGAAAGGCTAAAAAAAGACTAACTTTTTATTTACCAAATAAATCACCACAGGCTACAAATGCTAACTGTCATTGAATAGTGGCTCTTCACGGGAACGGTCAATTGTTACAATCATTTAAAGAGCAAAAATTCTCTAGTTCTTTCTTCTCAAATGAGGATATGCTGCTTTAATATCATTGTAAATTGAATGTACTGTAATTGGGTTACAAGCGATTTCTAGACGTTGTTTTGGGCTCTGGGAAATAATACAATTACACATCAAACTGAATAATCGAGGAAATAATCAGCAGATTAATCAATAATGAAAATAATCAGTATTTGCAGTCCTACATGAAAGTAATTCTACTCTGTTTACAGGCTGGAAACCTCAGACCGAGGTTACTTCTTTTCCTGAGTTTAATAGTGTCGGGTGACTAATAGAGACAAATCAAAAGCTGGTGGAGGAAGGTTTCTGGGCCAAAATCTACATTTCCAGGCTGGCTGCGATCTTGAAGGCGTGCCAAGAACATAACGTCAGCATGACTGGGGAAGCCACAAAGGGAGTCCACGTCTCATGATTACTTCCACAGAGCAGTTTTAACTCTGACTGCAGGGAAAAGTTAGTACAGTTGGCAGATATCAGGAAAAAGAAGGACTTGTGATTTATAAAACTGAAACTCCTTTAGAGGTTTTCTGTCAGCAACACACAAACAGTGAATTGTCTCTGTGAAAGAAGCCAGTGCCACTCCTATTGTGAGCCACAAACAGAGAGTCTTTGAACATGTCATGTCTCGGCTTGGTTTGAGTTCAGCACTTGCTAAGTGAGTAAGAAAGAAAGCTGCTAGCTGTGTCTCCAGCTCAGGTCTATTCTGCCCTACTGTAGTATCCACTCACAGACAGCAGCAGCCACAAAAACACACTGTGATGAAGTGGCGTAACGTTGCTGGTTGACTGGTTTCAGGGGGTATGAGGGATGACAGGGGAGATCAGGTCAGGCAGGATAAGTGTGTGTGCGTGTGTGTGTGTGTGTGTGGGGGGGGGTGTTATGGATCTGGATGGTCTTCATGCATTAGGGGAAACTCTAAAGGTCTGCCAACCTCAGACCTGAATAAATCACTTTGATATGGGATGATGAGCCATCTCACAGCTCTGGTTTTGCAGTGAGACTCAAACCTCTCAGTCAGAGAGAAAGAATGTTTCTGTTTATCTAACGCCCTGGCCTTTTTCGTCCTTTAGCATTCCTGATAACGTCACATGTTGATCGACCCAGTGCAGCCTGACCTGCAACCACAACATGCACGACATTATGTGTTCATGTTATATATATTATATATATGTTATATATATAATATATACTAATTAATATGGTGATACACTGTTATTGAATTTTTAAAACTCCCAAATACCGGTAGAGATCAATATTGATCTTTAAATTCCAGTATCCATTGTGCTATAGTTGTTGTTCCTCTGAAAAGCTAATGTACATACACAAACACACACACACACACACACACACACACACACACACACACACACACACACACAGCACCTTGAGAGCCTGACTCTGCAGAAATAAAAAGCTGCTGCTGATGTTTCTCCCTCCACATGAAAAAAAAAAAGGGGGGGGGGGGGGGTGCTGCTAATGAACACAAAGTCACCTTCTACTATTCTTACATAGGTCAAGAGGAGATGTATATAATGGAGGTGAACTGCACAATGCTAAAATACAAGTGTATTCATTATAACTGCCCAGTTGCAGCAGCTCACCACAGTCTCATAAAAACCAGATCCAGATTTTTAAACAACAACAAACTTCCTGAAATAAAGAAAATCAACTTGAACGACTTTCAAAGTCAGATCTTCAGACCTTCATCATCCACAACATTATTGGACAACCAGCAAAAACATTTACTGTGAAATAATTGAGAAATCAGAGGAAGTACTAGCCGAATTTAACAATTGATAATTAATCTTTTTCAGGTTTTTGAGACAAAACTAAAAAAAACTTAATACATCAAAAGTCAGCAACCAATCTGTGTACTGGCATATTATAGACCTGTCATAGAAAACTGTCACTGTCAAATCATCGCAGTGCCAGAGGAAATGGGACTCACTAATATCAGGTGCATAATTCTAAGGATTTCACTGAGATTAAATGTTGTCCCTGAATCAGCCACTAAAAGGCTGGGATGTGTGATGTGTGTGAGAAAGCATCAGAGTTAAAGCTCTGCAGCAGTGTCTGCGCTGCTGGAGTGCTTTTGAGCAACAAACTGAATCCCTGCAGCAGAAGCAGATAAATGAGAGGTCTGTTTAGTAATAGCCTATAGCTGTCAGAGCTGTTAGGGCTGCACCAGCTCTCCAGTGTCAGGTCTGCCTTGATTGTCTATGTGGGCCATTTTTCACCCTGCACCACTGGCGTGTTTGGAAATGGAGACCACAGCTCTAGTGCTGGTCAGGACCCGCCTGTTGGAGACGCAGACAGCCGCTGTATTGAGGAATGACAGCGGGACAAACATCCTGTTTTCTCAGATTTACGTGTATTATAGCAGCTGTAAAACCCAAATATTTCACAGCATATCACTGGACGGAGCGTGTATAGATAAATAAAGACAGATTCATTATGGTTGTTAATATCATTATTAATAATGTAATATTCAGAATCCCCCACCACCACCCTGCTGTCACCTTCATTCTACTTATTCATGACCTATTTTTATGTCTATTGACCAGGATACTCACATTTGTCTGTAAGTGTTAGCTTTTCCTCCAGATGATTTCCCAGCTCCTGATAATCCATCGTCTCCGTTCAGGCGGATCGCAGTCCGGTTCCAGTTGCTGTCATTCCTCAGAGTCGCTCCAGTACAGGAGATGAAACTCCCGGTACAGCTCGCCCAAACACGCCCTTTGTAAATCCAACCGGAATAGAGAAAAAGTGACCAAAAATGATGTGGAAATCAAACGGATCCGACTGAAAACAGCGGGAAATGCCTGATGTTTGTTAAACTGAAGTGAAACGGTGTCAGTGTCTTTTAAAATTAGAGGCTCGGTCCAATCGAGTAGGTCCACGGGTGTTCAGTGGAAAATGTACAGTGTGAGAATAAAAAGCTTTAGTGAGTCCTGTAAGCCAAGTAAAGTTAAAAAGAAAAACACACTTCCGGTCACATTTTTCAGAATAAAATAAACGCGTATTCCTTGGACACGCTCAACACATTACATAGTTGTCTAGCAGGTGTTTAGGTCTAACAACAAATATTTAGTAACTGTGTGACGCAATTACTGTATATAATATCATACATGTTTTACATCGGACATAAATGCCATTGAACGTACTGAACTGAACACTAAGGCCCACTATACTTAATAACAACAACAATAATAATAATAATAATAATAACAGTAATTATAACTTTGTATTATTTGTCATCATTAATTCATTTATTATAGTTATTAGAATTTATTATTAGTTTCATGCTCTAACTATTGTCGCAGAATTTTCCTCATGGCAAAGTGAAAGAGAGAGAATGTTATTTCAGTGAAACTCAAACTACAGGTTGAAAATGGGTGAAATCATCATTAATAGAAATCTTCTTCTTCTCTTTTAACTATACAGAATGAGCAAAGTTAAAACCGTGATTCTCAGACTTTTTCTGGCAGCCCGCCCTCAGGAGCTGAAAAAAAACCACGACCACCCACCCCACAATTTTTTCTTATCAGGACTCAATGATAGATGAAGAAACTAATACAAAATGATTCATGTTGAATTTTTGTGAAATAAAGATCGGCATGATGGCATCAGCAAACCCTTAAATTATATTCATTCAGTTTAGTTCCCCCTGGTCATTCACCGCAAGAAGAACTGGTCAGAAGAAAAAAAATGTAACCGCATTTTATTCTGACGGTACGCCTGCTTTATTTCCGGTTGTAATTTCCTTGTTGACGCCGCCGATCGCAGCGAAAAACCGCATGCCGGACAACCGGACTGAACCAAGTGTTTCAAAAGGGAAGAAACTAATTTGTCCAGTAAAAACCACAAAAACCAGCTAAGTAATGGATCACATTCAGAACATGAAACAGTGCTCTTTATTCGCAGTGAGGCCTCTCTCATCGAGTGTAGCCATAGCAACAGGACAGAGTTGTCCTCTTAACTCTTGGACCCTGTGAATGGTCTGATCCATTAGATGATTTCCAGCAGCTGAAAACGGCCTTGCTGCCTGGACTGAGGTGAGCGGTCAGGACCGTGTCTTCAGCTCACGTTCATTAACGGTTACAAGAGCTCATTTACTTCACAGATCATATATCCAGTAATGGTGGAAAGTAACTAAGTACATTTACGAAAGTACTGTGCAAAACAGAGGTTTTTGTAACGAAAGTACATTTCAGAGGGACATATTGTGCCTTTTACTTCACTATAGTTATTTGCCAACTTTAGTTACCTGTTATTATACAAATATTTTTCATAGAATACATATAACGATCTTCTAAAATATGCTTTGTTGTAGATTTACAAACCAAACAGTAAAAACAAGTACAGATAAAATTAGTTGATTTATTGATTAGACGGTTGACAGAAAAATAATTAGTAGCCTGACTATATTGATGACCGTCAAAAACCATTTCCATGCAAAAATGCCAAATTTGATGCATTTTCCTTTTAGTTATTTTCTATTACATATTAATTGTAGTAATTTCGAGGTTTGGAGTTTTGGTTGGATAAAACAAGCAGATGTCACTTTAGGCTCTGGGAAATTGCAATGACATTTTTAGGAAAAAAACACATTAATTTCATAAACATGTAATAAGTATTGATTATCACAGGAAAACATATTTAATTGGAGCATCACTGGAATACTAATAAGACACAAACAAAAAATAACACCTAGGTCTCTATAAGCCTACCAATAAATTGACAAATGATCCTATAGTATGCCTTCTATAGAGATAAGCAGTAAGACCAAAATGTTGCATACGTCACACTTAAGCCACATTTCTCGTATATAAGAAGTGACAGGACACTATCAGATTATTGGTGATGACAAGCTAATTAATAATTGATATGACCTTCTTGTCACTGCAGGAGACTGAGTCGACCCAGTCTTCTGTGATAACAAGACAAGCAGCAGAAGGATGACAAACCCTAACATTATACATAAAACACCATGATGATATTAAACAGTGGTTTATTTACGTAATTTGATCAAAATACAGTGTCTCATTCTGGGAACACATAAATATCAGTTAATGGATAATTTGGATCTTGTCAAAACACATCTGCATCAGTGATTATTATATCAAAATAATGTTCAATATGACATCTCCTCTCATACTTGAAGATAGAGGAGCAATAAGTGGCTTCTGTGGGAGGAGTGTCATTTTTTTTTTTTTTTTTAAAAAGAGGCCTTTTATAAATAGTCTGACCACATGCTTTTTTGGTCATTTAGATTAAAAATGAATATTAATTATAGATGAGGTCATCATCTTTTTTCTCTTGAATCAGCAGGGCAAAAAGAGGCACTGACTACAAATATGAACCTTTGATTTTGATTTCAGGCTCTTATTAGAGCAAGATAGATAATATAACATGATGTTATACTGAATACTAAAGGACCAAATGCACCAGTGTTACCACAGAGATAAAATATGCATGACCCACTTCACTGGTGAAGACACTTAGGACTTCACAGACTTCAGGACTCCAAACACTTGGGTTGTGGCTGATACTGAGTCTTGCACTTCCGGATTTTTCACTTTTTATTTCACTCATTCCTCATAGTTCAGCCTAAATTTAAAAACTCAGCTCAGCCTTCTCAAAAATTACCCTTCAAAAAACTTCAGCAGACTTATGAGTGGGCAGATAATGTCTGAAGTATTCCTTTAAACATGGTCCATGAAGGCTAAAGATAGCCACTGCCAATCAATCTACTGGCCGCCCTGCGACGCACGAGAGGAAGCAGTTCCATCAGGGCTAATGGATGGATTTCAACTTCTGGTGTCTGTGAAACAGCGAACGGCTCTGTCTCTGTTGTTGAGTCTGGAGTCTTGTTAAAAAGGATTTGTTGATGCAGTAATGGGATTCAGAAATGCAAGGGCAGGAAATGTAATACAGGGGTAGGTCAGACAAATGCAGGGAGCGTTCAATAAACCTTCCATATCATGTTCATCTGCATCACAACCAGTGTCTCTCTGACAACACACCAGACCAATAGACTACCATTTCCATATCAGAGTATTTGTTACTGCGTTTCCGTGTCTGCCACTGCAGATCTGGATTTTCTATTTCTCCTGAAAAATCTGATATCAGAGGATTAGAGGCCCTCGAGGACCTGTGTGGTTTTTCTAGAAAACAAAGAGAGAATGAAGTGGGGGTGGGGTGTGTTTTCAAAGACATAACCTCTAAATAAATGACCTAATGTATCAGAGCACATCCTTGATCCATGAAAGGACTGATGCACTGCTGATGGTATTCAGACACAGATGCCAGTAAAACGATAAAGACTACAGCTAAAAGTTCCCATCAGCTTCCCTAAAGCCATGCTGATAGCATGGCTCAAAAAACTCAATATGGTGTACAAACAGGAAAATCCTTTCCCTCATCTTTTCCTAGTGTAATTTCATTACACCCTCATGTTCTGTTTCTCAAGGATCCATAAATACACCATGTGTCTTTAAACATTTTACGCAAGACTCTTGAAATTGCAGCAGAACAAATTCTGCTGCAATCTACTGATGTATTGCCAAGCAACAGGCATAAGCTTACATCGACATGATGATCTCTTCACTCTGATGCCGGCAGCATCACTTTTATTAGCTCTCTCAGACTATCATTGGTCTAATTTAGAATCAAATCTAACTCAGTAAACCTGGTGAGAGCACTTCAATGAATGAAGATGGAAGGATTTTTAATCAGATAAGATCATTCTGCCTGTAGCCTTCAACAAAGAGCTTTCTCTTTTTCTGAGACTTCCTTGGAGGGCGTGCATGCCCATACTCGCCTGCACCTGACTGAGACATGGGGCAGTGCAGAGAGCCTCCCATAAACCCACAGAGGCATGTAGTTCATTCCCCCTCCAACACACTACCACAAATCACTACAAAAAAAACCGTCTAACCCAAAAAGCCAGCAGTTACACTCAAAACATTTGTCTGGATCCTCCCTGTGCGTTTGACTTGGGGGGGGGGGGGGGGGGGGGGGGGGGGGGGGCTTTATTACTCCCTACTGTCTACAGTAGAAAGTAATAAAATCCTCTTTCATTGTAAAAGAATGACACAATGGTTTGGTTTCACAGGGCGAGTACACATATTTGGAGAGCACATTGCTGAAGTCAGAGTCTGAATATAACTACAGCTGCTAGAGTGGGAGTCAGGCGTGTCTGCAGTTGTTGTGGTTATTGAGAGCAGAGCTGGGGAAAAATCTCCAGCTGATTTTTTTGCGAGCAGGTGACACTGTTGATTGCATCCTCTGTCTTTGCAGATGGAAACAAGCATGAGGTAGAAGTAACGACGCTTTGGCACCATGTTGTTGTTTTGTTCAGTCATTTCCAGGGATTTATCTCCCTGAAATTTCCATGTAAGCAGCTGCAGCAATGTTAGTGTTTTTACCAGTTTTCCAGAGTAAAAATTTCTCTTCAGCCTCAAAGTTCAACATGTTGGTAAATTCACTTATTCGCTTTCCGGTGATTTAGATGAGAAGATTTATAAAACTCTCACTCTCTTTGTCCTTTTTACTCTTTAAATTTTTGCACAGATTGAGGCAGAGACTGTTATCAATGAGATAACATTACAAACATGTTTTGTTGTTTCTTGTATAAAACGACAGGGGGACCCCTGGCTTCCCTCGGCCTAAGGGAGAAGACACCTCTGTTAGATGCTGATCATAAGTTTCCAAAACAGGTTCTGATTTCATGAAAATCTTAAGGACTCTGCAATAACAGATTTTTGTCCACTTAGGGTCAATGGAAACCAATTGTGATATGGTTGATATGGTGCACTAGTTAGCAAAGAGTTGCTTATTTAAACAACCAGCAGTAACAGATCAACATTATTATTCATTTGGAGTTGTGTTTCTGGCCTATACTCCCTCCCTTTTAGCTCTGCTTGTGTCCCCACTATCTCCTGAGGGAATCATCGGACTCACTATCTGCTCCACTACGTTCAACAGCTAGTCACTAACTGTTTCTGTCTGCTGTTTGGTGATGAGCAGGTAGACGACACTGGGTCTTTACAGCTGCCTGCAACCTAAATAGTAAATTTGTGAGTCGCTGATAAACAGAGAGCTGAACTCATAATGCTGAGTGGAGCTGCAGATTCACCCCTTTTATGTTGTAACATTGACTTTACATCATTTGATAAATTGTTATTATGAAAATATCTATTATGTTAATCAGTCAATGTTGTCATCTAACAAGCAAACTTCCCAGCATGTGGAACTATTGCTTTAAAACAAGAACATTGCTGTAGCCGCTGCTCTAACAATACAAGGTCTGATAGAGCCAGTTACTGATGTGTCCATTTGTCTCTGGGTTAAACTCCAACCCTGCCTCATGCCCAGTCAGTCACATTGCTCACATAGAGAGTCACACTCCACCCCTGTGCTGCCCTCCAGCAGTTGGCACAGTGGTGTCATCTCAAGCTGTCAGCTGTTACTGTGGCTGCCACTGACTGGACCAGCAGCTGTTGGAACTGCAGCAACACTTACTGCTATATCATCTCCAGATCAGAGCATCAGGAAACTAGGGTGAGGAGAAAACATATGGCTTTTCCCTCACATCTCCAGTTTGGATAAATACTGAATATGATTGATCCTCCATATCTCAGTCTTATATCTCACTGGCCTCAAAAACATCGAAATAGAGACTAAATGATTGCAAACGCTTTCTTTTAATCTTTCTTTCTCAGTAAATACTGATCTAAAAAAATGACAGATACATGAATCCATGTACATTTATAACATAGAGACACATACCTTGCACATAAGGATAATCAGTTTATGCATGTGAAGAATTTACAGTTTCTGCAGTTTCCTTTGAAAGCTTCATGCAGGAATCCAGACTCTGGAGTCGTTGTAAAAGAAGGACTGCTTTGACAAAATCTGTGGATTATAGAAACCTGAGAAGAGAAAGAGAAAGTCCAGCTACTGTTACATTATACAATCTCCTTCAACCAGACAGACTACAGTCAGAGGCAAACGGATAACCTGAGCTACTGCCACTAAAAATCGTGTTCTTATCTCTATCTAACTTATATAGTACGACAGCTTCCACATTGAGGGGAGTTCTCTGCTCTCTTGCTTCAGACAATAAGAGATGGAGATGCATGTTCAATGAGTGAGAGCTTGGTCTCTTGTTTAAATCATAAAAGTCAGGGGCATTCCTTGTTTAAATGTGTCACAGCTTTGTGTAAAGGGAGAATTTACCTTTTCAGCTCCAGGCCAAAAAAATACTTCTGTTAATCCGCCTCTTAATTAATATCACTTACTGGCTTCAAACATGGATGAATTGCACATTTTCTTTTCCAGGGTAACTACAGAAATATCAACATTTAGAAATATCTGATGTGAAAAGTTGTATCCAAGATTTGTGATAGCTCGTTCACAGGAGGAATTCAGGTTAGAAAAATCCTGTAACAATATGCATCAAAATTCTAAGGGTGCTAAATATAATGCGTCATTAGATTTCAACTAATCTGTGAAATCTGTGGTGAAACCGATATCAAATATGGTCTTAGAACAAAACCATCATAACTACTAAATAACATAGGTGAGAGTACAATAACAAACCCTTACTCAAAGTATCTTAATTCAGCACTAACCTTTCAGACTTTTCAGGTGTCCTTGGTCAAAATCTAGAATGTAAATTATGTACAAGAGCATAACATTTTCCCCGCCTCTTCCTGACTGAAGTTATACACAACCAAACTTGATTTGTTATGTTTTTCTTGGCTAGCCATTACCCATTAACAACTGCTCATAGTGACCAGGACTATTGATATGTAGATAAATAGTGACATGAAACCAATGTAATTAAAGTAAAAATAATCCTAAAATGATTCCAGGAAGTTCATTTATGATGAAATGTTGTTATGAAATTTTTTTGTGCACCTACTTTCCTTACACTGCCTCATTTACATTCGCTTAAGTCAGCAGTTTCCAACAATTCCCCATTCTCAGGTCCCACTGCTCCAGTTTGGATGCAAATTTATTCTAATCCCAAATTATTTATGTCAAGATTTTCAAATTATCTTGTGACTACAACTGGTGTGTGATCACTGCAGAAGTCAGCATCAGAGTTTATTCTACAACTGTGTGTGAAATAATGAGTCTAGTAAGAAACCTCTTCTCTTTGATTTTGTACATTGTGTTTCATTGAGCATCACATCACCTGTATTTGTGTACTAATTCACAGATTTATAAAAGCATTAATGTTTTATGTAGTAGATTTGTTTTTTAAGCATTACCTGGACCTGGCTTCATATCAGCCCCTGAGTATTCGGGTAGTCTTTTGGTTCTGGATGCAAATGCAGCAGTGAGCATAGGATGCTTGGATGCGCCATCATAATTCCCTATATCATACTGGCCGGGACCTGGCATAGGTGGATCCTTAGGAGCAATCAGAGGAGGCGCTGATATTGCCAAATAACAACCCCTCCTTGAAACACAGTTAACAGAATTTACATTTTTAGACAATCAAGAAGAAATAACAGAGTAACTCAAACCCAAAGCCATAAATATTATTTATTTACTCACGGTAGGATGGCCTTCTTCACCAGTGCGGGGACCTGATGGGGACTGTAGGCTCCTGGGCCCGGCATGTGGTTGTCCACTAGAGCAGGGATTCTCTGAGTTTTAGATTTGAAGGGGGACAAAACTGCCTTGGAGCTGTGCTGGATTAAATGGTTGTTCACCTCATATTGGCCTATAACAAATTTATGATGTAATATTAAAAATTTAAGAACTTAAAGTAAAAAAAATAAAAAAGGTGTAAAATTAGATTATTTGTGAACACAGTGAGGTAATTACATGGTGATGGCACATTGTTGTTTGTGTAAAATGAGTCACGTCCAATTTTTGAGAGGAAAGCTGATGTACCAACCACTGAGGAGATTCTTGCTCTACTACCACAACTGACCTGAACACAGAGAAGCAGCAAAAAGCTGTACATTAACCACAGCATACACAGTCACAGAAGCTAGTCCTTAAAAGCAACATGCACCATACACATACATACATCATATTGATTTGGCGCTGGAGTTTTATGCTTCGGAGCATCTAGCTGCACAGCCACAGGCAGCCTGAACACCCTGGACACCCCAATGTTGAAATCATACTTGTTTATAAACGAGCTCTGGATGTTGTAAACGTTTGGTCCTGGGACGGCTCTCTGTGGGTTTCTGTAACCCCGGGCAACCTATTGATATGATGATATGACATGACATAGAAAATAAATAGAATTTAAAACCAAAAAAATGACCTCAAGCGCAAAATGTAAAGTAACACTAAATTAATTCCCAATTTAATTACAACATTCACCACTTTTATTTCCCTGATTGATATTTCTACCTTCCCATCATGTAAATTTTGCTTAATATCTTTTGACAAAAAAATGATTCCTCACAATATTCTACAACATACAGTATTGCTGATCTCAGAATTTCTATGACCTTGTCCCTGCTCAGCATTCCCCTGAAATCAGTGCCAATGAGCAGGACACCTTCTGACCTTGGATGCAACAAAGCCTGTGGTGCCTTTCTTTGAGAAGGAAGGACTTGTAACTTCAGCACTGGGAATACAGCCATAGCTGCCCGGTCCTGGGTTGTCATTCTGAAACAAATACACATCACTATGTCTATGTTTAGCCTTTTAATTGCTTATTAACGGCTGATGTAAGATGAGTTAAATGTCCTACCAGACAGAGTTGTGAGGGGAATCTCTTCGCTTGAGATGAAAACCCCTTCTTTTCTTGATTTGTTATCACCACTCTTTGATATTTCTTCGGTATGGAGGATGAAGCCTGAATCTTATCTGCTAAAAGATCAAAAGAAACATTTTGTCGGATTATATTTTCAGCTCAAAATGAAATTAAGTTTTGTTTACACTCACTTTTATCAGATCCTCTGTACATGTTGCTCATGGTTCATTGGATAAGCCTAGAAAGTTTATGGTGAAATTTGTAAATCAGAAGCCATTAAAAACGCTCACAGGTCGTGTTGCCATGGCAACGTGAAAACAGTGTATGATTCGACGAAGAGTTGCCAGGTTTGACATTAACGTGAGCTACTTTAATAACGAACCCATCAAAATCATAGTCATAACTCAATCAAATCTGAACACACAGACACGATATACATATGTTCAGATTCAGCGTGACTTACGGTATCATTGCCGCTGATGTCCAAATCAGAAAAGACACGTTCCCGCAGAACTAGCTTGTAAATCAACTGATTTTTAAGTTTTCCGATGTTTCACAGGACTCATGTCACAGTTGCCAATACATGCAATGGTACAAAGCAAACCGGATCTGCTAACAGCTCATTCGGTGCGCTTAATTGTGCATAATGTAAACGAACATACACTTAAATAAAGGGATCAGGGGTTGTAGCCAACAGCAACTAACTCACAATCCATGGCGGCATTATGCTGTACATTTAAACATACACGTGAAGTCTTTTAACGTGTAATGTAGCATTATCTGAAAGGCCGTGGACAAAAAACCCTCTCCTGAACGAAAATTAAAAACCGGACCACTTTATGACGACTGTAGGCTCGGATACTTTTTGTCAAACAAACCTGGCAACAGTGCTTCGACCCGCCGTCCTGGAGCTGCCCTTCAGCGGCATCTGTCGGTAAACCGGAGTCAATCGGGCGCTCTTTACAAACCAACCCGCCGTTGTTTTGTAGCTAGATAACCTCGATCCATCATGGCGATGCATGCAAAGGCGACTCCACCGCAGATCCCGGACACCCGCCGGGAGCTCGCTGAGCTGGTTAAGAGGAAACAAGAACTTGCTGTAAGTTAAAGTTACCGCAGTTTTCCCAGAGATGAAAGCGACATTAAGCATTTTATCATTTACAGGCAACTATAACTTAAACGTCTACCTCGTAGATTGCACGCTGCTAGCCGAGGCCTTGCTAAGAGCTAAGCTAACGATGTTAACATTAGCAAATATGTTGGTCGGTTTCTCTACTATTCACTCTGGTGGGGCTAGCTTTTCAGAAATATTTTAATTTGTAATCATTGGCTTGTTAGAAACCGCTGCAACGTACTTAGACTAATATGTCAGCTGGTTAGTAAGCTCAGCTACATGCTAACCACCGCCCGGTTTGGCAGAGTTCTCGCGTTGTTTTGGCTCTTCCGGTGTGTCTATATCCATGGTTCGTTTGGAAAGCATCACAAGGAAAATATTTGTTGACATAGAAACTATTCACCGGCTAAGCAAAACAAATCAACTCTGAGTCTGTCAATCATGCTTACACCTCAGTCAGGCCATCTCTGTACATTACCTACTTTTCACGAAAGTGTGGCTACAACTCCGTATTTCAGCAAGTTACTATTTTTTATTTACTATATATTTATTTACTATATTTTACTCAACATATACACACACACCAAGCATTTTATTAAAACACCTGTTTATTAGTTTATAGTTTTATAAGTTATCTATTCGGCTAATCATGTGGCAGCAGTGCAATGCATAACACCCTGCAGATACAGGTCAGGGGGTTCAGATAATCTTTATATCAAACACCAGAAATGGGGAAATTTTGATCTCAGTGACCATGGCTTGATTGTTGGTGCCAGACGGGCTGGTTTGTGTATTTCTGAAACTGCTGATCTTGTGGGATTTTCACATACAATAGTCTGTAGAGTTGCATGATACAACTAATATGACGCAAACCTGTGACATCACTTTAAGTTCAATTTTGGGTTCTTCAATATTTCAGGAGACGCTGGTGAACCTGGAAAGACAAATATATGCATTTGAAGGCAGCTACCTAGAAGACACCCAGATGTATGGCAATATCATCAGGGGATGGGACCGGTACCTCACCAACCAAAAGTAAGCATCAGATTTCAAACTCCTGGGCTCTCTACATGTCTGTGTAAATGTATGGAGAAGAAAACTAATAAGGGGAAATGTTTAAGACTTAGAAGGTATGGGAGATTAGTGGATTTTGCATGTGATCAATTCAGTATATTCAAATACAAGATGATTATCCTTGTGGTGGAAACTAGTTATTTAGCTACTTTCCTCGCTTTGTTGTAAGCTAAAACACAACTTGGAGCCATTTTCTAATCAAATATAGTTTACATTTTATTTTGTGTTTCCTACAGGAACTCTAATAGTAAGACTGATAGAAGGAATAGGAAATTCAAGGAAGCAGAACGTTTATTTAGCAAGTCATCTGTCACATCAGTTGCAGTAAGTCCTTCTTTCTGTACTAATTCACACAAAATTTAACTGATCATATGTAACAAAAACACTGATAATCCAAATGTATTCTCTTGATAGGCAGTGTGTGCTCTTGGAGGGATTCCGGATCACATGAATGAAAAGCGTGAGTTGTTTTTGTCATTTTTTCAAACAGCGATGGAAACGTTTCTCCTCCACAGACCATAGTCACATGGTGGCCATTTTCCTCTGATGTCACGCTCAGAGTTGGAAGCTCAAATTCTGTCACTGAAAGGATAATATGTTTCTTTTTTGTACCAGGTTGTGACTCATAAACGTCAGCAATCAGATAAATGGTCATTTCAGCACTTCCCGATTGATCGCAAATGAACAAATGATGGATACTCTTTATGACAGCTTGTTTTTACGCCTTTGCCCTGTCAGTTGTGGAACTGCTGTCCTCAACCATCACTGAAATCAATACTTAACTCTCTTTGATGTCACCTGCTTCCTGTCTCTACTGTTTAATATAACTTTGACTCATGAAACTGTCAGAAACAAGTAGAATAACACTCATTCATTTCACAACAAAAACAATTAAAGGTGAAGTTAGTGATGCTCCACTGTCATATCACTGATGCAGGTTGATCATGAAACTATATAACGTTAGTTAATGTTTAACGTTTGCACAAGCCGGTGAACTGATTTTTCACCTGACAACTTATTAACACTAAAACTTAATTTATGTTGATTGCAAACTTCATGTTTTCTCGCATAACATCAGCTTACAGTGCTCCAGTGTGGGCTGCTCTTACCTTCAATATCGTGATGTAAGATTTAATCCAGTTGCTGTTTCCTTTTTTGAATCCTTTTGTGGATCCTCGCAAATTCATCTGCCCATTTATCAATTTGGTTGAATGAAAGGGAAGTTAATAAGTTTTTCAACAATTTCTCCATTCTCCCACTGGATATACTTACAGATATTAAAATGGCTTAAAGAGGCTTCCCACCCTCAGCGTGACGTCAGAGGAAAATGGCCGCCATGTGAATATGGTCAATAGTCTTTCTGCCCTAGTTTCTGACCGTGAGTTTTTGCACATCAGGTGAGGCAGGCAGCGGCACAGAGAGCGACACCTCTCCAGATCTCCAGAACCAAGAAAATGAGCCCAGCCAGGAGGACACAGAAGATGTGGACTCAACGCTGCAGGACTTAAAGCCTCAGAAGGCAGCCTCCTCTTCCTCCTCAGGCAGCCATCACGCCAGCCACAAAAAGAGAAAGAACAAAAACAGACACAGGTACAAAATCAACATACAAGACTTTGTGTTTCAGCAGGCTCTTTAATCTAACCGTTAGTGATAGTAGATACTGCTCTCTGATTCACATTTACACACTTTGTTATTTAGTCATTTGTTTGTTGAAAACTGACTCATACAAACTTGACAGTTTTAGTTGAGCAGTTAAGATAAATGAAATGAATTTTGAATACAACACCTAGTTATGCGTAATGATCAGGCAGCTGCAGCTAATCAGGCAGGGTTGATCCCGGGCTCCTCCTGTCCACATGTCATTGTGTTGAATCTCTTTATAAATGTAATCTATTTCTATATAAATGAACTTTTCTTCATCCTGCCATCACAGCAATAGCGACCTTGCCTGAAGCCTTTATCATACTTTGTAAAAACCCTAAAAGAAACTCACTGTGTTTGTTGTCAAGAAATGTTTGTCCTGAAGAAATCTAGCTAGTCATTTCAGAGTTTCTCTAACCTGATTACTCACTTCAGGTTCCTTGGATGCACGACCTTTTAGGAAATCGGACAATATCCCAGATAGTTAAAGCAGTGGTTCCCGATCTTTTTGGCATGTGACCCCCGAAAATAAGCGATGTCTACTTGTGACCCTTCATCACAGTTTAAGGGCTTAATATAAACATTATTGTTCTCCAGTTTTATCAAAGAGTGATTTTTAATTCTGAGGCTGTTCCATTTGAAGGATTTATACAGTCCCTTAGAGGTCAACGTGTTAAGTATTTTACAAGAAAAAGAAAATATAATTTTTTTTCCTGCTGTGTTTTTCCAAAAATACTAAATGCTCAGGTCCTTAAAATTCCCTCATGATACTAGTGGTAAATGGAGAAGATAGTCCTCATCGCTTTTCTCTTGTTAAAGTGAAAGGAATATAAGATGGTGTGAACATTTAAAAGTGTGGTCCTTAAATATAATATAACTCCAAATTGTTCAGACATTAAATATTGTCTAATTTTTGGGCCAGTGTGGTATGTGTTTCTTTCTCATGCCTGTAACTGTCTCGGGAACCTCTCACATTTTGGGGGATTCTAACACCAGGATTGGGAAACACTGAGTTATGAGCAAGTACACACACTGATTGTTTATTATAAGAGTCAGTGCGGATAGATATTGTGAAAAATGTATTCAAAAACTGACTGGTTTGCTATTTAGAATAGTTGATAATACCAGTATAACACAAAGAAGATTAATAAGTTACTTTGCAGTGAATTAATGTCAGTGTGTTTCCCACCTAATTAAGGTTTTCCTGACTCCAGCTTCACTGTTTTTAACCACATATTAACACAGCAGGTGCTCCACCTAACACACAGTGACAGTGGTGTTCTCACTCGGTAGAGTCGGGACTGCAGTATTATGTAGACATAGGGCTTTAGCCCCAGGTTGGTGAACTAACAGCTGCTGCTCTCTTCCTTCCCCTAATGCTGCCCCCCTCAGCCCTTCTGCCATGTTTGATTATGACTTTGAGTAAGTCTGACTTTTACTTCCTGCTCCTGTGGTGTTTACATCCTGTCTGCTGTAAACTCCCATCCTCAACTTTACCACTGTTTTTTCCTGCTCTGCCTGTTCATGTATAGTTTGAGTTTAAGCTTGCTAGTTATTCAGTCATACTGCATGTCCAACACTTCATTCTTTATATTGAATGCATACCAGCATCAAGCACTCTGAACTCCGTTAGATTTTCTTGCTTGTTAATGGGGTATTTTCTTTTTTTTTTCGCCCCAGTGTTTACCCAATTCCAGCAATGAAATAAAACATTGCTGGTCTTGTCTGATGATGCGTTGGCTGTAGATTTGTGCACAAACAAGAACAAACACATGGTCATTTAGCGTTCTTGTTATGGGCTTTTTTTTAGGCTTCATGACACAGTAGTGGTATCGCTTTCCACCATAACTCCCGTCAGAAACAGGTCTCTGGTCTGGTCACATCTAATGCAGCCTTACTTTTTTTGTTGCAGGTTTGACATGAAGGTGAACAAGAAACCACGAGCTGTAAGTGGCCTTATTTATCTAACAAATACTGGGATTATAGCTGAGACTAATGATTATTATTGTACCATTTTATAATCAGACTCCCCCTATAAAGGATTTATATGTGGTTTATAATTAGTTTATTAATTTGGGTGTTAACACTTTATAAATCATAAAAAATATTTATAAACAAGTTATAGCAGTTTTTA